TTAAGTCACATATTAAGTACAAAAATCACCCGAATGTAAAAACTTAAAATAGACATTGTTTAACTACCCTTGAAAAATATCTACCGGGTCAAATATCTATAATATATCTATGCATATGACAGCAATTTATCAGCAAAAAAATAACCATCATAATATCAACTGTCAAAACTCCTTAACATACAAATAACTTAAAAATAAATCACTAAAAATATCTAAAAATGTCTAAAAACAACAAAATTTAAGTCAAAAAATAGCATTCATTTCACGTGTTATACAAAACACACGGATGTTATGTAGGAGTATATCATGTGAGAGGGTGTGGGGTGGAGGTGGGGGTGTGTATTTGATTATGGTTGAATGTTGGGGTTGAATATGGGTGAATTAGTGTTGGTGAAACAAACTAACCCCGGCAAAATAGCAGTTAATAATCTCGTCGCCGACACGCATCTGATGGCACCGGATCCTGGCCTGGGCTGCGCTCATACCGTCGCCATAGTTGACGCGAACCCTACGGAAACTCTTGAAGTACTGGAAAGTGGCCGACGGGTCAAACGTTTTGAACGTGTCCTCAAAATAGTCCTGTAAATCGGGGTAAAAAACATATATATAATTAGTATTGATCCAAGGTAGTTGTTTTGTCCCTGTAGTGTACACTTACCCTGATGTCTGATGTGGCTGCGAAACACCGGCTGTCAATGTTGGTGATGATCAACGATGTGGGTAAGTCTGTTGTGTCAAACTCTTCGGCCAACGGGTCGTCCGCTTCATTCACGTGATCGTCGACTGTCACCCGATTATCGTCCTTACCGTCCGTTTGTTTCATTGTTTTTGCTGTTATTATTATTATTATTGTTGTTTAATAAATGGTGTTGGTAGATTAATTAATTGTTTTTACCACAATCAATCGTTAATTAATTAATGGTTATTTAATGTGTGTTGACTTTTGGCCGTAGATTTTTATGAATTAAAATGGTTATTAATATGTATAGCGTGTATACTGTATAATACCGGGGATACTTATGTGTGAAATGTACACACTATGTAAATGTAGAATATTTTATTATACACACAGAATAATTTACCACTTGGTAAAAGTCAAACGACTATTTTTCTCACAAACAAGTTATTTAATTCTGTGCTATAATTATATATCGATGAATAAATTAGCGGAATATTATAATTTAATTATTG